GCAAGTTGTTCTCTGACCTCTGACCTCCACACCTATTCTGTGGCATAAATACAAATATTTCTATAAAGGTGTATGTGAACTTTTGTAAACATGGCATTTACTTTTGCTTCTTTGCGTAAGAGCAGAGGAGTAGAATGGCTGGATAATATAGTACTTGGATACCTTACTGTTGAAGGAACTACTCTAAATTCTTGCCAGCCTTTGGTATGATCTTTCTTTGCCATGCTAGTAATTTAAAAGTAGTACCTCATTGTGTTTTTAATGAACATTATTTTAATGTCTAGTGATACTGAGAATGCTTTTTCATGTGCCTTCTTTTCTTTCTTTTTTTTGTCTTCGAAGGCAGGGTTTCTTTGTGTAGCCTTAGCTGTCCTGTAAACAGGCTTTGTAGACCAGGCTGGCCTCTGCCTCACTCATGTGCCTTTTTGAGGTCTATGTAACTTCTTGATGAGTGTTCAGATCCTAAGACCCCCCCCCCCACTTCTCTCCCCCACCACCGCTCTCTTTCCCTCGCCACACCTCCCTTCTTTTTCCTTTCCTCTTCAGCCAGAAGAACTTGGCATATGGTTTAGGAAGGTCTTAAACTTGAGATTTCTCTAAGTCAGCCTCCTAGGTGCAGATTACAGGATCATCTGCTGCTTCTGGAAGTTAGAGTTTGGAGAGTTCTTGGCATGAGTCCTTTATCAGATTCATGGTCTGAAAATACCTTTGTCTTCACCTTTGATTACCTTTTTTCTCTTTGTGGTATGTTTATTTAATATACGTTTACATTTTTGTATAGTCTGTATGGATTGTGTTTTTTATTTCTGTCCAGTACAAGGTATGTCTTGAAAGTTTTTTTTTTTTTTTTAAATTCTTGGCAAATAGGTATCTAGTAGTTCCAGCACAATGTGTTTAAAAGATGGTCCAGAGCAAATTGTCTTGTCATTGAGCACATTCACTTGGTATTCATTTGGAAGTTCTCCCTGCTTTGTTTCAAAAGTAAAATATAGCTGGAGAGATGGCTCAGTGGTTGAGAACACTGACAGCTTTTTTAGAGGATCTGAGTTCAATTCCCAGCACCCACATGGCAGCTAACAACTGCCTGTAACTCCAAGATCTGACAACTTCTCACCGACATACATGGAAGCAAAATACCAGTGAATATAAAATAAAAAAATAATTAAAAAAGTAAAATATAAACATACATTAGTATTAACCTACATTTTCAATTAGAATATAATGTACATGTATGTGTGTGTGTAGGCACAAAGGTGCAGAGGTCAGAGGACAACTTTTGGGATTGGTTTCTTAACCATGTGGATACAAGATATGGAACTCGGGTTGTCAGCCTGACAGCAGGTACCTTTACCTATTGAGCCATCTTGCTAGACTGTATTTGTTTAGTTTAAAAAGATACAAATAAAGTGGAAATATGTTTTTCCTTTTTTTTTTTCTCCTTTGAGACAGGGTTTCTCGGTGGACCAGTTCTGGCTATCCTGGAACTCGCTCTGTAGACCAGGCTGGCCTCGAACCCACAGAGATCCACTTGGCTCTGTCTCCTGAGTGCTGGGATTAAAGGCGTGTGCCACCACCACCCAGCGAAATAGATATTTTTATAGTGTTTTTTAAACAATAGGACGTTAGTTGGAAAATGATGGAAATATCAGATGCATTTGGTCTGTATTTGTAGTAATATGCAGTATGGGGGGAGAGCAATAGATTGGGGAACAAAGAATACTTTTGGTTTGGAGTTGAGAAGCCCACATAGCATGATGGCAGAGCCTTAAGTATAATGTAAGTTGAATTTGTGGCAATTCAAAGCCTAGAATTTTGCTGGCATATTTTACACCCAGACTTGTAGCATTGATTAAGATGAAGGTTGGACTCTTGGTCA